CATGAACTAATCCTATTTGGTGGGAGTTCGCTTGGATGTTTAAGTTTTATTTCAATGAATGATTGTTTTTATATGCTTTAATCTGTTTTGTTTATGAAACTTAATGCTTTAAGGTTATAGGAGCTATGAGAGTAGTCTTTCCTTAGAAGAGCTTGAGGGTTTGAGAAAATGCCTTGGAAATTTATCTTTAGTCTTCGAGAGAAGCTAGAGAGGAACTACATAAACAAGGGGTTCTAGGTAGTAACTAGGCCTAATCCACCTTAGAGATAAGGCTAGGATTTCATTCGACTAAAAGGAGCTGTACAAAAATGATAGGTTAGATGTTAATGCTATCGCAAAAAGGTATTATCGGGACATATCATGTTATCTGAACTAATAGGATCACTGTAGGGGTTTACGCCAATCGGATTTTCCAGGGCATATTTAATCTGTCGAACCCCTTACTAGAGATATCATAGGGCACCTCTGTAGACTCTGTCGGGCAGGTTAGGCATCGAAGAAATACCATTAAGAGAAATAGACTTAGATTTTCCTAGTGACTCCTACCACTCATTCCCATAACAGCTTGTTGTAAAGCTAAAGTCATATATATATTAAATCTAGTATTTGTATTTTTATTTTTCCTTAGCATTTACATTTGTTTGCATGTATTACATTTTAATTTACCACGACATATCCATTTGCTACCACATTACCATCATTCCATTTCCACACCAGTCATTCCATTTTGCCACAACATTCTCATTTGTATATACCATCACTAACATTACGTAGGTGACAAAGTAAAGTGCCTTGACAAACCTATTCGACTTCCCCAATTCCCTGTGAAGACGATACTCTACTTACCACTTTATTACTTGTTCGATTGTGTATACTTGCACACATATCCACACTCATTTTATAGTACCCACAAGAGCGGACAAATACTCCTTCAATTGATTCTGAACGTTGGGGATGATTAGTGGAGTCAAAGTAGCCGTTTGAGTGTGAAAACAATTAATAAAATAGTTTGGGAGCGTCAGTGCATCGATGCATATACAAGGTGCTTCGGTGCATAAAGTGTAAAATTCAAATATTTCGACCGTTGGACCCTTAGTGCATGGGTGTACTAAGAGTGCATCGATGCATGAAGTGCATTTGATGTTTCAAAATAGCCTGAGTGCATCGATGCATGTCTTGTGCATCGATGCATCAAATGCATTCGATGTTTTCATAAAACCTGAGTGCATCGATGCATAGTATGTGCATCGATGCATAAAATGCATTCGATGTTCAATTTATTCATTGTGCATCGATGCATGGATTGGTGCATCAGTGCATTCTTTTGAAAAATTGATTTTAGGCTTGATTTTGGTTCAAAATACTTTGTGAAAATTGTTTTAAAAATAGTTTAAGTATAAAACACAATTTTACACATTTAGTAAGGTTTGAAAATTGATCTTGAAATACTTGGAGTAATAATTTGATATTCGAGTAATTAAATTGAATATACTTAGAAAATCATTTGTAAAATCGTAAAATTCATTTAACTTAATTTGTTATATCGAAACATCAAAATGTTTTCAACAATTATTGGGTTATGGGGTTCAGCGATCACCCTTAGGGATTCTATCATGTATGGGCGCGATATCGGTACGTGACTGTCCAACCTACCGAGGCCCACGTGTGCCTTGCGAAGCCCCTAGTCCCACGTGTGCCTTGTGAAGCCCCTAGGCCCGCCCGCAGCACGCTATAGATGCGGGGCTCTGCAATGCCGTGGTAAACTATGGGGGGTGCCCCACAAGAATCCACCTTGGTTTGGGAGAACCCAGTGATCACCCACTATAAATATATGAGGTTAAAATGGCCCACCTACTTATCACCAATTGGTTTTAAGAAGGAATGGTGACCATTCGCTTCAGAACTCTGTAGTTAAGTATGCTTGGACCAAGGAAATCCAGGGATGGGTGACCCACTGGAAAGTTGTTCAGAAATGAATGACTCGATCCTACAATTATGATTAATTACCTCATTCATACATAATGTTTAAAAATTCTTGATTTCTTACAAAATGTTTTCTACCGTTAACGAGTTCACCCATTTTCATCACATAAGGTAACGTGGAACCCTGTGACCACTAACAAAATGTCACGTTGCATTTTAATTTTAATTTTTTATTTTATTTTATAAAATAACCTTTCATATTTAATCATTCACCAATGTACATCGTCGTTCAACCTTCTCCGACGATCTGTGGTGTTCACTGTCACCATCGCCGGCATCGTCGTTGTCCTATGATCAAACCTTGACCGTCGATTACCTCTGTTTGTTCACTGTTTTGTAGAAATCTATGAGAGACCGCTATCATCATCGAGAGCGCCTTGCCATTGTGACCAAAACCTCGACGATCGTTTGTTGTGAACCGTTGCCGATCTCCGTGGAAGATGATTCGAAGGTTTGCCGGAAATAAGTTCTTCGCCGCTGTTTTTTCGCCATTCCGATCGACCTCGACGTCTGTGAGCCTCACAACCACCACCACTAGAATCCCCAAGTTGCTCCAATCAAAACCCAGTTCGCCCGCTCGTCGTTTCTGTCCTCTCCGATCGTTGTCATTAGCCTCATTGAGATCTTGCTCAAGTTAAGGGGAAAACTGAAAAATAGGGGAAAGCTTTATTTTTTAATAAAAAAATATTTTTTAAAGTACCATGGCACATTATGTGAAGAAAATAGGTGAACCCGTTAACGGTAGAAAACACCTTGTATGAAATCAAGAATTTTTAAGCATTATGTATGAAACTGAGAATTTGGTATACTTTATATATAAATGGGGTAATTAACCCTTTAAATTATTATTGAAGTTATATTTTAGTTATATAATTCTAAATGAAAATAAAATAATTAAATTTAATAATATATAATAAAATTATTATATTATATTTAATATTAACAAAAAATTAATTTAATTAAATAAAAGTAAAATAATTATATTTAATTAAAATAAAAATAATTCTTATCTATGAACATGATTGGTTTAAATGGTAAACAGCTTAATATCACTAAAATATGTCTTGAGTTAAAAGCCTTATGTATTCATAAAATTTTCGTTGAGAGACTCATTCATAAAAATAAATGTATGACACGAGTCTGTCTAGATTAATAAAATAAAACTCTAAGAAACCAAAAAAAAATTCTTACCCATTACCTGAATCTACTTTACTTTTTTATATAATGAATTCAAATTTAGAAAATAAATATTCAAATGTTTTTTATTGGGGATAACAAGTTTAAAACCGAATATTTTAACCTATCATCTGTCTTTCTCTTTAAAATTTTCATTTATTTTTTTATACTTTGAATTTGAATTTTAATATCCGATAAATAAATTATCAATTTTTTATATGATAAACTATATGATAAGTACCCCAACTATCATTTTTATTTCGTTTGTCATTTAGTTATTATTTTTTTCAAAAGCACACCTAATGTTACATTTTAACTTCATTATGATCTCATACCATTAAAAAATTAACATAACCACTAATATGACATTTAAAAAAGTCAATAATGACATGACATTACCTTATGGCGACACGTCATCATAACCATTATTTTTTTTAATAGCGAGTGACTAAAATAAAACCAAAACGTTATGTTAGGTATGATTTCGAAACAAAAAATAATTTGGTGACCAAAATAGAACAAAAGTAATAGTTTAAATACAAAACATGTAATTTACCCTATAAAATATCAGTGCGCAATGCAGCTTTTCCATGAATCAGGCCAAACAAAAATCCAAGCCGAAATGTTTGAACTTTGCTTTTTCCTAGCTACCTAAAAGTTAAAATCGGAGTATTTACAATTCTTAAGCAGCAGAGGTGATGGATGATGTAGAGCATTGAGTCGAAAGCAAGATGGACCAAAACTATATGTTAAAACTGAGTTTCAGATTTGCATTAGTGGTTTCTATAACAAACGACTTCACAAGAATATTTCTGAAGAACGAAAAATATTGTGAGAGCAGGTCGAGCTGCCACTTGAGATATGAACTACTACTGTATTCATCAATATCTGCAAGATAAACGAAGAAACATATAAAAGGATCAGAATTTCTGAGAATGTCGAATAGAGAGAACTAGCACTCGTTGTCAGGCCATGGGCACAATACCAGATGAATACCATACTTTCTTCATATGCAAATTGGAATAACAAATCCTACCTTATGCAAAATAGCAAAAGAGAGTATACAACAGGCCAATAAATTACATATGCAGCCACAAAATGGATAAGCATGTCTGATATCTCTTTATATTATTATTAAGAATTAATTGCATGACACGTCCTTCAATTATGACTCTCATTCTAATTGGTCCCTAAACTTTTAAACTTTCCAATTTCATCCCTAAACTATGACTATTGTTCTAGATTAGTCCTCAAACTTTTAAACATTTCAATTTCATCCCCAAGCTGTGATCTTCATTCTAAATTAGTCCCCAAACATTTTGAACATTTCAGTTTCATCCTAAATTATATGCATATAATAATCACATCCCTAGTTAATAAAATTGTTAGGCCAAGTTATATTATTATATGTTTGAAAAAAAAAATAGGTTAAACTATAGTTGAAACTAATTACATATTTAGATGAATTTGCAGATGAAATTGGAAGATTCAAAAGTTTGAGGACCAATTTAGAATGAGAGTCATAGTTTGGGGACAAAATTAGAATGTTTAAAAGTTTAAGGGCTGTTTTAGAATGAGGGTCATAGTTTGGGATGAAATTAAAATGTTTAAAAGTTTAAGGATCAATTTGAGATGAAGGTCATAATTTAGGGACATGATGCAATTAACTCTATTATTAATCTACATATCTATGTTACTTGGACTCTAGAATGAGTCCATACCAATATCCAAATATATTTCAAAATGAGTGCACAACAAATAAACTGGAAAGAAAATTTACATATGCAACTTTGTGGTGCTTATTCAACTATTTTTAACCAAGAAAGGAATAATCTCCATAAGCATTACTAAATCAATCACATCATTAAAGTGAACAGCAATGCACAAATCCAGGTTTAAACCAGCTTAATCAAATGATAGGCAAACTACTCAATAATTATTAATCATGCAAACTAACCTTCTGCACAAGCACTCATTTTGGTATAGATGATGAACGGTGTTCTATGAACTTCCAAGAAGACTTTGAAGTATCTGGTAATGGCGTTCCGAAATCTAAGATGCGTTGAAGCCATTTAACCCGACATATAAGTTCCTCCAAATCCAAAACTGCAGCCTCTATTGTATCAGAGTATGTGGAATTCAAACAAAGACTTCCATCAATTTTCTTCTTCTTTAATCCATTGTCATCAAATTTGTCCGTCATTCCCAACATCTGTTTTGAGGTATCTTGAATATGTAAACTTGAAACTCCATCCGAGTATTTTCTCTTTTCAGGGACATGATCCACTATATTGACGCCTACTATTGTTTCTGAGGTGTTTGTCTGTTTTTCATTCAAAGATTTCTTTCTCAATTGTTGTTTATACGGAAAATATAAAAGACTAATTGAAATACGAGAAGATAAAGAAACCTCATGCTTGATTGATACATCTGTTGTTGAATGAACATCTTTTTTCTCTCATTAACAATGCTATCTATCACGTTTGAGGAACCGCCTGCAGTCACCATTCCCCATGCAAGTTCACACGCTAATTGTCATGGAAATGTGCACCAACAAATATAGATAAAAAATCCATTTTTGTCCTTTCATATATGTTCACATCATGCTTGGAAGAAATCAAAAAATAGAAAAATTGGTTAAATACAGCCACGAAAGAGACTAGAAAACAATAACATGTGTGATAAATATTGTATTGTGTCAAACAGAAAGTTTCTAAACATTGAATATAGATATTTTAAAAATAAATAAAATCTAATACATTTAAATAACTATAACTATATAGTCGATTACTCTTTTCCAAGATATATATTATATTGAAGTTTCTATATGATTTTCATGCATAGATATAAATTATTATATTAAGTCAAAGTAAAAGTACTGAGCAGCCAAAAGAGTGTTACAAGCATTAAAGTTGCCAATGATTAACAAAGGTAAACCAGAAGGAAAACAAATCATTTTCTCCATGCATACACATTATCAAAAGTAAAAATACTGAGAAGCCAAAAGAGTGTTAGAAGCATTATTACCTTGATTAAGAGGCTTGACTATTCGAGCACAAAAATGACCATATTTATCCCCCTTATAACAAGCAGATTAGAACAAACTGATAAGCATCTAAAGATACAATAACCACAACCCTTGTTAACGTGTATTGTTTAAGACATGATAGGATAAAGTAGGTCCATAGATGGCGAGACATATCTTGCACCAATGAACTGCTTTCTTAGTTCCAGATACAGAGAATAACCATTGTCAATGTTGAGGAAACGTCATAACAAGAATACTGAAGGCCATGGGTCAAATTACCATAAATTGAAAATTTATACAAATATATACATACTAAGTTATCTCTGCTTTCATGATTTATCACGTCATCATTGTTTTCACATTGTTCCTATATAAAGTTGTTATATAAATTAAAGAGAATGTTGATGGCACTATGGATAAGTGGTGGTCGAAGGGTGGCATTGGTGGGTTGATTAGAGATGAGAAAGGAGTGATGATGGGTTCGTTCTCTTAAGGTATTGGATCCGGACCTCCTATTATGGCAGAGTTGATGGAAGTAAAAAGAGGCTTGAATTTGTTTATGGATTTGGGGATGTCGGAAAACGGAAGACTTATTTTGGAATGCGATAGTGTTGTGGCAATCGATTGGATAAAAAATCCATTAAGTTTCACCCTGATGTTCCTATCCTTAGTCAAAGATATTGCATAGATTGTGGTAGATAAATGTGTCATTGTTCGTCATGCGGTGAGAGCAGTTAATTGGGAATCGGATAAATTCACTAAACTAGGGATTGGTTAAGTGGAGGGGATTTATTTTTGTTGCTGTCCTGTTTCTAGGGAATTTTTGACAGCTTTAGTTTATGTTTAAGTTTGTTCCTGGCTGAGTCTTATTAGGAGATTGTTTTCTGTAGGATAATTCTTATGCTTAATTGTGGTGCATCTTAGGGCAGTGTTGCACCCGACCAAGGATTTTGGCGGTATTGTAATCTTATTGTACTTGGTTCTTATACAATAAAATTTTTGAGACACTCTTTTTCTCATTTTAATGTTCGTTAAGTCCTTGTTGCTTGACGGATATGAAGGAGTTTTTAATGAGGACTTCCTTATTATCAAAAAATAAATAAAGTTGTTATACTTTCTTGCCCCAAAGGATATTGGGTACTAAGCCAAGATAAAAGATAAAATCAAATCAGACAAATATGCAAGGGAAGAAAAAGAGTGTGAGACAACCTTGGGCAACTTCCAACCCTCATCTACAGACCATTCCAATGATGGACGCAAGTCTTTGCAAGAAGCGTCATATAAAGACCCTTCACCCCTGGGAGGAGGTAGCAATTCAACCTATACAAACAGATAAAACCAAGAGCATTTGAAGAAAAACAACCATCAGAAGCCATTCTCATTGAGGAAGTGTTAAAATGAAAAGTTGGGTCACTAAATAAACTATTTATAGGGATGGGCACTTATGGATACATACTATAGCCAGACGGGAATGACATACAAACACATTATTTCTCAAAAGCATACAAACTAACACAAAAGAAAATGGTAGCCTATATGAGATTAATATTGAATTGAGATTTGAACCATCTGTCGAATTTTCGGTCTTAAAGATGAGGGAGCAGCTAGAATTATCAAATGAATTCCCGTGTGGGGTGAACGCTTTCCCTTTCCCTTTACGCCAGAGGCTCTTAAACGGATCTGGTTTTTCAAAGCGTCAAAGCCAGGCGAAAGCAATTGTTCCAGGCTCCGTATGAGCTGGTTTTTCAAAGCCAGGTCACGAAGGAGTGTTTTAAGAAGCAAATATAGTTTCCTGTTTCGCAGATATAATTAGCTATATCTTGTTTCCTATTTTGTAGATATTTTGTTTTAAATTTATTTTTATGTAGGAAGTAGTCTCTTTATCTAGGTGCGCAAAAATGTGTACATATCTCCTATAATTATTTTGATTGAATATGTGATGACACGAAATTTCGATTCAACGTTAAGCATTGACTTGATTGTTATTCGAATAAATTAATAACAGTAAGAAGGCTCAATGGGCCAAGTTTGAGTTCAATTAGATAAGAAAGTGGTCTAATTGGAGATAAAAATGAGATTTTTAAGCTTAAGATGAAATCATGGTGATTTGGGAAGAATTTGTAGCTGAATTTAGAGTGGGTTTTAGGATTTCATTCAGAAAACATTTTCTCTTCTCTTCCCAAGGCCTCAACTTTGTACCTTCTCTTTCTACTCAAGTCAAAACTAGAACAAAAGTCTTTTTCTTTCCTCTCCCTTTGCATCCATCCGAAGATATCAAGACAAGATTCATGATCTAGGGATCATGAGTTTCAAGATGAGCTCACCTTCCTTTTCAATAATGACCATGAGCTCATTTTGGGGTTTTTGGAAGATTTAAGCTCCACGAGCTTCCTCCGATGTTTCCATCCGGATTTCTTATAGCCAAATTGTTATTTAGCAAGTTTAATCATCATATTAATGATAAAATCATTTTTTAATCATCATATTAATGTTTTCATGGTGTCTGAGATTGATGAGAATTTTCTTCTCTATTCCACCCCTGTCGAGATTTAGAAGACAGTTAAAAAAACTTATTTAAGTGCTAATAACACTGCTGAGTTGTTTGCTATTGAGAGTAAAATGCATGCTCTCCGACAAGAGGAGCTGACTGTCACAATATATTATTATACATTGTTGAAGTACTGGCAGCAGATAGATCTATTTGAGGAAAATGATTGGCAATGTGGTTGATGTTGTTCTTCACAAAAGAAACACACAACAGAGAAGGGTGTTTCAGTTCTTATTTGGACTCAATTGAGACCTTGATGAGGTTAGAGGTAGGGTTCTTAGCATTAAGCCTCTTCCGACCCTCTAGGAAGTGTTTGCTCTTGTCAGAAGAGAAGAAAGTCGCATATTTGTGATATTGCCTGCTCCTATTGTCACTGAAAGTTCTACCCTAACGACTCATACTTCCTGGGAAGCAAAGAAAAGGAGAGGCAATCCCGGTGTGATTATTGCAAAAAGGTGGGTCACATTAGGGACCAATGTTGGAAACTTCATAGAAAGCCAGTCGATTGGAAGCCTCCTCAATTCAAAGGTCAGAGGGACTCACAATCCCACCTGGTAACTACTGCAGGGTTAAATAGTTTCACCAAACAACAGATGAAAGATCTTCGCAGGATATTTGAACACATGAAAGCCACCAATGTCTCCAATGACTCCAGCCAACTTATGAAGGTAGTTTTCCCTTTGTGGGTATGGTTGTATGGATAATTGATTATGGGGTTTTAGATCACATAACTGGATACAAAAGTCTATTTTAAAATTTCATCCTACTTCTCAGAATTCTATAAGAATGGCAGATGACTCACTTTTCTCAATTGAAGGCAGTGGTTCAATTCAAATTAATGAGGATATTGACTTAGATTTTGTTCTTTATGTTCCTAATCTAGCATGCAATCTTTTTTCTGTTAGCAAATTATTTCAAGACCTTAAATTTGTCACTAAGTTTGGTCTAAATCTTGTGACTTGCAGTGTATGGTAGGCTCTATGTGCTTCATGGTCAACAAAATAATCCCAGCAGGTCCTCAATATTGGTTCCAGTTTTTATCTCCAATATATCAAGTGATGTTATGCTTTGGCAACTTCGATTAGGCCATCCTAGTTTCTATTACCTTGAAAAATTATTTCCTAGTTTATTTATTAATAAAAAAACCAAAACAGTTTCATTGTGAAAGTTATCAACTTGCCAAACATACAAAGAGTTTCTATTTACATGCTTCTTACAAACCTTCACAACCTTCTAGAGTGAAGAACATTAATGGCAGCCGGTGGTTAATATCCTTCATCAATGACCACACTTGAATCATATGGACCTATTTGATTAAAAATAAGTCTGACACTGTACAAATATTTAGGAGGTTTCACAATATGATAGAAGCTCAATTCAATAGCAAAATTCATATTCTAGAATTTGATAATGAGGAAGAGTATTTTACTAAAAACTTGGGACCTGTCTTTAGAGAAAAAAAGAATATTTACGTTACTTTTTGTGTTGACACCCCATAACAAAACATGGTAGGAAAATCAGACATTTATTAGAGGTTACTAGATCCTCATTATTCTATCATAATGTTCTTAATTATTTTTTGGGTGAGGCTCCTTTAATAGCTTCCTACCTAATCGACAGGATGCCTAGCAAATTATTAGCCTTCCAAACACCTCGGTTAGTGTTTCTTGAGTTATCCTCCTTTCAAACCAATGTCCTCAATTCTTCTTGAAAATATTTGGTTGTACTGTCTTTATTCATAACAATAGTCCTTCACGGTCCAAATTAGATTCTATCCTAGGCTATTCTTTGCTAAAGAAGGGTTACAAGTGTTTCTCTCCAACCACTAAAAGAACATACATTTACATGGACATTACCTTTCTTGAGCAGGTACATTTTTCCCCAAACTAGAATTCAAGGAGAGACATTAGTAGAATTCCAGCAGTTTCTATCCGAACTGCAGTAGACGCCATTACAGCCCTTACCAGAACTACATCAAACTCCATTATAGCCCTTAACTGAGGTGCAACAAACTCCCTAATCTAAAAACATAGTACGTCAAAATCCCTTACCAACACCTAAAACAATAACCTCCAAAACCATCCCAGGAAAAACTACTACACCAACACCTAAAACTCCTCATATTGAAGGGAAAAAGTTGTGTTTACAAGAGAAGGCAGAAAATTGTTCCAGAGGCCACTATACAGTCTATTCCTTGCCAAAAACTATCACCAAGTCCAAATGCCTCTACAAATGAAGAAGGTATTGGAGGTAATTTTCCCATTTTAGATATTGACGATTTGCCTATTGCAAAGAGAAAGACAATGCACAAACCATCAAATACAAAGCTTTGTAACATATGGACTCGTTTATAGCTTTTACAGCTAACATTGATGGAGTAAAAGTTCCAACAAATCCAATGGTGAATGAAGCAATTAGTTCTATCTCTAAAACATCTTTACCTTCCAATACAAATCCAATCCAACCCAATTCTGGAAATTTTGAAACTTCAAAAAATTAGTCCCTCTCATCACAAGACATAAAGAAATATCTTCAATGGTCTCAATCTGTCCAGATGTTCATATTACCTGATCGGAAAAGTTTCAATTCTTGAAAAATGATTTAAGCTACAAGAATTGGAAGGTTGGAAACCATCAACCCATGTCATGGCTCATAAACACCATCAATCCTATATGAAACGACACAGGAAATACGGGAGGCATTAGGGAAAACTTAATCAAGTTCTGAAATTACTTCGGAACTCTTCACGATGGAGAAAGCTTTTCAGGATCTTCATCAAGGAGAATTAACGGTAAGTTTTTTAATGTTTTAATTCATCATTGGTAGCAATTAGATATGTTTGAGTTTTATGAGTAGAAATGTCCAGGGTACTGGCATATTATAATTAAAGAAGATGAGAAGGAAGGAATCTTTAGTAAGAGAGAGAATGAGTGCGATAGTTAGAGAGAGCGAGAGTAAATTCGAAAAAGTACAATGTTTTTTATGAGGAATGGACAGTGTTCATTGATAATCTTAGTAAGAGTGTTTCAAGAGGGGTGTTAAGGAATTATTTCAGTCCTTATGGTCAGATTCTAAGGATTTTCATCCCCCGTTTTTAGAAAAACCAAATTATAAGTCTTATACTTTTGCATTTGTCCAATTTGCTGGTGAGGAAAGTAGAAATAAGGCAATCCAGTTCGGGAATGGGAAGTGGATTGATGGGAGAAGAGTCTTAGTAGGGATTGCTAAGTATCAAAAGGTTAAGAGGAGGGAAGCTGCGGAGGGTAAGAGGATGTTGGAGATCAAGTCAGGGGAAAGAGATACTTCAAAAACTGGGAGGAAAGTTGAGTCGTTGAGAAGCATGAGAGAGGGCAGATCGTATAAGGATGTGGTGAATTCTGAGTATAATCTGAGAAGAGAACCAGTGTATTGAAAATATTTTGATATTTCGATATAACAAATTATGATAAATGAATTTTAAGATTTTCCAAAAAGATTTTCTAAGTATATTCGATATAATTATTCGAATATCAAAATATTACTCCAAATCTTTCAAAAGTCATTTTTAATCCTTACTCAAGTGTAAAATTAAGTTTTAATCTTAAAATAATTTCAAAACGATTTTACAAAATATTTCGAACCATTTCAAAGCCAAAAATTCCAGATTGCTCAGAGGGAACCGATTCCCCCCCCCAAGGGGGTACCGATTCCCCCTGAATGGTTTGGCTCCGAGAATTCCATTATGCTCGGAGGGAACCGATTCCCCCCAGGGGTACCGATTCCCCCCACTGTT